ATACATGAACTTAGTGGTGGCGCGTTGCGGTGGATGCTATCTGATGCCTCAAACAACTTACTGAAGCATAAAACAGCACTTTTCAAAACTGTACAATATTTAAATAACAGGTATAAATCCCTAAATCCTGGTCTCAGATGTGCTACACTTAAATTTGCTAGCTAAAAGATTAGTTGATTAACAGGAAATTAGTTTGATAAACAATTTATTATTTGGGCACTTTTTCAAGAAAAATGTCAATTCTGCTCTAGTGCCAGCTTCTCATAAATGAAGATTTGCTGCTAATCTTTGTCCTACAGTATGTGTTCATCTGTGGAATTTATTTGCCCTTTGAGGTGTTGTTTAGACAAGAAAACATCAGTAAGACATCATCCTGACTTTTGATCTACACATTTGATCTACCATTTTTTGGCAACTCCTGCATTTTAGCAGTTAAGATTCTCACTGTGCCTCTGTGGTTAAATACTTCAGTTAATCAAAATGAAGCCATGTCTTCTCCATTACACCATCTTTTATTCAACTAACTTTTTCAGCTACCTTGATTCATCAGGATGGTGTCTGAAGTTGTTCCCAGTATAATCTGGTTATATATTGTTGACATTATTTGGAGTTATCCATAAAAATAAAGAAAGAGAAAAGTGCACTGTTTTTGTAAAATGGGATTACAAAATAAGGCTGAAATATTAGAATTTGCTGCTTTGTATTGAAAAACAGACTCACCTTTTTTACCAATTGATAGGTGCAGGGTTGAATTTGCTAAAGAATGTTTTGAAAACTTGATTATAATATTCTGTTTTAAATTGATGAGCATTTATTTTCTGTTGTAAGCTTCTGTATTGACTAGGAGCAAATACTGTTTTTTGTAAAAACAGTTTAAAAAGATCATTTTTGTTGCTGGGCTGATCTAAGTCACATGACTGTACTATATATATATATATATACATACTGTATACTGTATGTTGTATAATGAAACCATGATAGCCAAAACACTGGAGAACAGTTGTGCAAGGTGGTTTTAAGTATGTAGTTTTTCTAACCAGTTCTGGATATAGCACCTTATGTGACAAATTTAACAATACACACACACAGTTGCTACTGCAGTCAAATGCAGTGCCATAGTGCCTGCTAGTGTATTCTGTTGCTTTGTAAAATGCCTACATCTAACATGAACTACCCTGGATACTCAGCACTGAGATGTGATTTGCAGAGCTGAGAGGAATAGTATTGTGAAGTTCAGACCTTTATGCTTCCATGCTCATGAGATACTATATGTACAATAGCTAGAAGCAGCACATACACTTGTGTGACATGACAGCCACCGAATCAAAAACAGTAATTTTTATACAAGTACCAAGTACAGACTGACCTCAGAGACACGGGCATTATTGTTACACAGTCATATGTTCATGAATGGCAACTAATACAGCCTGGTGTTCGCTGAACTCTTTCTGCATTCACAATAAGTCTCTTTCTCTGTTGTTCTCACACATACACACACCCTGTGGTGTCAGATGAGCGCTTTATAGTCTTGGCCTTGGACACAGTTGTATAACCTGTCTTTGCATTGTGGTTCCTTGGCCCAGTTTAACATTGAAAATGGACTTCAGTCCTGTTGCATAACCCTTCTCTGTGTGATACTCAGTGCTCCTCTGTACCTCTGGGTGTTTCTATTCAGCAGCCATGTCACTGTCACCGGCCTTTGTATCATAAATACTTTGCTTTTCTCACTGTGTTTTGTTTAATACGTGAACAGCTTAAATGTGAGCAGCTGACAGCTAATATACATTTAAATTTATGAATTCATTATACAGAATGTGAAATGGCAAAAGTTAAGCATTTTAATTGAAAATTTGCTGATTAATGTGTAAAATGTCACTTGTACTTTATTGATGTTCTGTTGACATAGTTTCACATGAGTTAGGTGATATATTTTGTTGTAAGATTTATCATTTTATTCATGCTAACAACATAATATAATTTTTGTCTGTCAGTGAATTGTAATAACTTTACAATTTTATTTGTTGTTTGTTATTTGTTTTTTGTTTTTTTCCATAAGCAGTGACATTGCCATTAACCTCAATTGCAGTTTGTGGCTAGTACTAATTAACAAACATTAGCTTGCTAACACATGAAGATTGTGAAATGGTAAACATTATATAAGCTTAGCATCAACATGCAGTATTCACTTTGTCTTTATGAGCATGTTAGCATGCTCAAGTTAGCATTTAACTAGCATCAACATGCAGTATTCACTTTGTCTTTATGAGCATGTTAGCATGCTCAAGTTAGCATTTAACTAGCAAGCAATATTGCACCTTCACAGAGCTGCTTAACCGCTAATGAATCAGATGCCAATATGACACCTGCATTTCAGTACTGACACCGCATTTCACTTGAGGAATTTAAAAGCTTTCCCTCCAAAAAACTCCAAACCTCTCACACGTCAGTTTCATTTGGTGTTGAAACAAAACTTTGCCTAAAACACAGCAATATTCAGTCTTGTTCAAAGTATATAGGACACCAACCACAAAATTATAAACAATTGAAAAAAATATGAAAATAGATCTTTTTTGTGGCAGACATTTTTGCCATTGTAGGTGAAATCAGTTTTGTTTACAAATGGCTCAGTTGCAGTGTATCAACTGTTCCAACGAGCCAAAAGGAAACTTGCATAGTCCTGGTATTGTACTGTACATGCAAGTTTTCTTTTGGCTTGTTGGAATATTTAAATATAATGCTTAAATAGAATGCTGTTGTTTTAAATGTTGTCAGTTACACCTCTGCTTGTCTTGCTTCGACAAGCTGCAAAGTTTGCTTTGAAAAAGGTCTATCATAAATCCTGGTAACCCAGGGCTGTCTTATTCACCACACACAGTGTATTGTTGGTTTTTGTTTCAGTTCAGTAGGCTCTCCCATGAAAACCCTCCACAAGGACTCTTGAGGTCAGAGCCCAGATGTCACACTGTAATGGAAAGTCAGACAATTCAGATAGAGTCTCATACCCCTGCCTTAATGTAATACATTAGAAGATAAAATCATTGCGCCTGTCCCGGCCACATACATTACCTTAAATTGGATTGCATGGTCTCAGGATGTTTTCCATAGCTGCATTTATTGATTTAATGCCTTTCCATATGCCTTGGCCTTACAAAGTGTGCTAATGAGTCTCTAGTACTGCGAACTGGCCTTCTGCTCCTCTCTCGACACTTAGCACTGCACTGTTGTTGTGCTTTACTTGTACTTGCTCTGCCAGAAAACTGTGGACTTTTCTCTCTGGGTTGAGAGTGAGTTGCTGCACCAAGTGAAGGAGTTTAAGTATCTCAGGGCCTTGTTCACGAGTGAGGGTAAAACTGAGTGTGAGACTGCCATACATATGCCTACATATGTGTGACACTGAACTGTGATTTGTTGGAGGTTAAAGAGTTGTGTGACGACAAAGGAGCCACAGGGGATGATTGTTAAGTGCTCCTTGACTGGCCTACACCAGAGAGCTGTGTCTTCTTTTTCAATTAGTAATAGTTTTAATATTTTTATAAATTTGACAAATTTATAAATTTTTCTTCTTCAGTTCAGCCAGAAGAGCATTGTTGTTATTTTCCAGTGTTTTCATTTTCTGAACACTGCCCTCTGACAACAGCAAATGAATCTGCTTTGATTGTGTCTGTAAAAATACAGATACATGTACAATTTGGGTATAGGCAGCTAGGTAGAATACAAGCTTCCTCCTTACATATTATTCATCATTTTGTTTCTCTTTTATCCTTCTCTTTTTTCCTTTGACAAGTAAAATGTAAGCTCTCAGTGTAAAATCTCATTTTGAAGAGAAAACTTCCCAAAATGGCTGCGTAAAACATATTGGAGTGTCCTATACTACATTTGTTTTCTAAAGTATTATGAGATAACCTTCTTATAAAGAGCACCCAACTCTACAAACAGAAACATTTAAAGCAAAGACATATTTTACCCTCTTTACCCCCCAATAGTAATGAATGTTTGTGACAAAAGCGTACAATCATGACGTCTGCTGTAAGCTCTTATCTTTTGGGGCTTTTATTATGAAAGCCCAGCCTATCCCCAGGCCAAACTCTAACCCTGTAAAGCCCAACACATCAAAAACTAGCCAGAACAGTCCAATTTTTTGGACATGAGATGTTTATTAAACCTTTTAACAAAATCCAAAAGAAAATTCAAGATTCAAGATTTTTATTTGCCATTTATGCATAGACAGACCGTCCAGGCATATAGGAATAAATGTGCCATATTATTTAGAATATTTTTATTTGGTTTGGTATCACATTTGATACATGGGGCATTTTTGGCGATTTCTATCTGCTCAGAAACTTGCGTATCAAATATGATACGAATGGCTCTATAGGGCTAAACTCTTCTTACTCTGTTCTAAATCCAACCTGTGCCAGAGCTTTACCTACTCCAGAGCTGCTCAATCACTTGTTGGTAATATTTGAGGGATTGTGGTATCAAAAATGTAAGAGAACAAATTAGAAAAGTCCTTTTTCACTTTTCTTCTGAAAATCTTGGAGTCTGTTGTTGGGCAGTGAGATGGCACTCCTGTCACTTTGAACAAAGCCTTTTAAGAAGAGTTTAGAGTGTTATGCACTCTAGCCTCTGAATGTTCTGTCCATTTGTTTGAAATGAGGAAAGTTTTCCAACAAAGGATTAAATATTTTTGTAAAATATAGAAGATATGAATAAAACAAGTAGCAATCAGGTGAAGGCAGGGTACACCCTGGACAGGCCGCCAGTCGATCGCAGTGACTGAAAGCAGTAAGCACATTTCTCAAAATGTCAAACTATTTCTCTAAATGTAGACCTTTTAAGATCAATATTTCCTAGTTAGGGGGCCTACACATTTTCTGTTAACACAGGCATTTACAGAGACCCTCACTGTCATGACTCTTGAATGCCAGTCACTGCTAATGTTAAAGCTGTGCAGCATGGTACATTTTATTATCATAGCTGACTCATTTCTTTCTACACAGAACGGAATTTCAGGCTTACAGAGATGTGAGACCGGCAAAGATGATCCGGGCCAAGTCCCAGTACCTGCCACCGGATGAGAAGACCAGCCTAGAGACCAGCTACAACGCCACCTTCAAGGGTCAAGCCCCACTGCAGCCTGCTGACAACAAGGCCCTAGAGAGGAGGAGGATACGCAGTTTATACAGTGAACCTTACATAGACCCCAGCAAACAGGTGAGAATGCATCCCTCTGACTTTGTCGTATGGGTTAAAATAGATTTTTAAAGGAGAAAGAGGGGGAGCTAAAGTCTTTACAGTAAAGAGTCCATGGCATTTTGCTTATTCCCAGCCATTTCATGTTTAATCTTGGGTACCTCTAGATTAGTTTTGCACCCATCATAACTCCAAATAGTCTGTAATTATTTCAGAACAATAGAACCTGAGAGCCTCTTCCTACAAACGAGAGGATAGTTCATGAACGTGCACAACACCTGTTGCCAGTGTTATGTAGAAAACTATTTCCCTATCGAGATGTGTTTTCCTTAACATGAATCCTAACATTATCCTGACCACAACCACTGAGGGGGCACTACATGAATCTGAGTTTTGAACGGAGGAAACACATCTCGACAGGGGAACAAAAATCACTGACAATGTCAATACCTCAAATCTTACCTGACGTGTTTGAGCCAAAATATGAAAGTACACAGGAGTAATTGATCTGAATTTCTCCTGCATAGATAGGTAAACAACAGTATATGAATCAATGAAAAGAGATCTGTAACATTCTAAACAAAGCGGCTGATTGAGAAACCCCATATTTTAACTGGCATAATGCAGACAGTAACTTCAACAGCCTTACAACAATTCTCTACAGAAACAATATATGAACCTGCAAAGTGTAGTTTTTTTAAACTTACTGTTACATCCCACTGAGTAGTGGACACTGATGATGTTGGTAAATCCAACCCGGTGATCGCTGCATCTTCCCCCACTGACAATAACAGCTTTTAAAATGGCCCCGGTGGATGTCAGGCAAGCTCGCATGAATGCACACAGCCAAGAGATTATGACCATTCAGGAAAATCTGTGAACTGTTGTATAAGACTTTACATAGTTGGAAAAAAGTCTTGCCAGCAAGAGATTGTGAGACTTGTTTAAACCAAGTTACTTCTACATAGAAGTACAACAACATACGTACACCTTGTTTTTTGAGCTTTCAGTTGCATTTAAGATGACAATTCATCATTGTAACATTGATATGTCAGAAAACACAGAAAAGCATGCCATCTGCTCTGTAATGTAATGTTGTAAAATCACACAGCACTGATTTAGAACTTGCCCTCCCAGCAATCTCACTTCCACTATCTAACATCCATAGGTGGACAGGTATAGTGTCCCTCGCTCTAAACGCAAAAAGCCTGGAGCCACAGCGGCAGGCCAAGCCAAGCCCATGAAGAAAGCCAAAGATAAGCAGAGTGCTGCACTGAGGGGCTCCAGGAAGGCGACCTCGGAGAACCAGCCTGAGAACCGACTGATGGTGGGGGACAAGGAGAAAAGTAAAGAGATGAACAACAAACTGGCTGAGGCAAAAGAGTAAAAATCATTTAGCATTACTTCTCTTTTTATTTCTTTTGGGGGTGGGGAAATCAGACACAGAGGCTGCAAAATAAATTAAGGTTGTCATCTTTGTTTTCTTTCCTTTCTGCTTATTCTTCCGGTCTCTTTCTTCTTCTTTTCTTTGCTCAGTGTCTTAGTGTGCACTCATTCTTCTTTGTCCTCCTTCACTACCTCTTGGCTACATTTGTACAGTAATACTAAATTAAGATCTTGGGGTTTAGGCATGACATGACATTGCTCCTCCTGCCTCATGTTATATTAGACCGCTATAGCAATGAGTGGGTGGGAGCATCCTCCTCCTCTACCATTTGATGCCACCCACCACCCCCACTATGCTTGCCTCCATCTCCAGGTTGCCATGGCTACTGGCTGACTGGCTATCCAATGGATGGCTCTTGTTGCACGGCCCCACTGACAAGCAGTTCTGAAGGTTTGGTTGTGATCCAATCAGCAGATTGCTTTGTTGAGTTTTTACTTTTGGTTTTGTGGATTTATGATAGTGATAATCAGATTGGTGTTTTGGTTTCTGCACTTGACAAATTAGCAGCAAATCTGAAAACCTTTGATAAATATCTGGCTTGGTTAGTCACGAGTGTTTGATCCCTGGCTTCTTTTGTACCTGCTCTGTCATGTTTGTTACTGTTCTTTGTTTACATTGAGCTCAAGGCTCAAAGCCTGTGTTGGGAAATTACATATGTCATTTTGTAAATCAGTGTCTTATTTCAAACTGAACTCTGTTGCAGGCTACACAAAATTATTTCATCTCATCTTAAGAGAAGTACCTTGTTTCCTTCCTTCATTCATGTGAAAGCCATTCATACAGTGAAATTTACTGTACCCGACACTATTTTGTAACACCTGATTTGTTTCCAAAAGTCTATGTGAGTCACACTAAACAGATTATGCATTTTAAAAAACCCTGTCATTTGCATAGCAGATGAGTTTCCCACTGATTTAGATAGCCCTGTTCTGCACTCATCATAGCATTAAATATAGTACATTTGTCAGAATCAGAGAGGACTGACTTCATTGGAGCTGGAAAATTTTGTGTTGACTGGCTCCATTTATATCCTGTCCATCAAACACACAGCGTGCAGAGCTGTCGATCTCAGTGACCATTGCTCAGTATCAACACAGTCTTTAAATTTAAAAAGACCAATCCCTCTATGAAGCTTCACAGCAGCCGATGGCCATAGCATGCACTCAAACACACTCCTCCTGTAAAATGTACTCTGCCCAGGGTGACCGGAACTAGTGTGATTAGACGGCCATGGGATGATTGCAGACAGCTCATATTGCAGCTTAATAGAACCTTTCACATCACCTCTAAAATGGAGCTGTATAGATGAAGCACAGAGTCACCATTCAAAAAAGTCATGAATGATCCACTCCCTTTTGTTCCAGTGCGTTTACAGTACAAGGATAAGGCATTGTGACCTCATTTTCTTTTTGAAGAACACGTTTCCTACTTTTTGGTTCTAGTGCATATGTTTGTCACAGTGATGTGATGGTAAGTGTAACTTGGACTCCACTGTTCATTGCTCTGTGTTTCAGAATCCATGTGGCTCTGTTAGTTTTGCCCAAACTCCAAAGTATGAAGAGTATGTTGGTTTGATGAGGTCAAATTTGTGTTAAAATGGTGATTCAACATTGGATTAACTTTTACTTTGTCTGGTAGGTTCAACATGGTGGTGCTGTGTTTGTGTGTAGGGGATATCTAGCAAAGCATCCAGTATCAAAACACGCTGTAATGCCTCCATTTTGAACTCCTGATTTAATCCTCAGTTAGATCTATTGAACAAAATGGAGCATGGAATAAGTTGTAACCGTTTTCTGTTCAAACTGATTACAACCTTCCTTGTACTGTATATAAAGCTTATATTTACAGTATGTATATATTACAGCAATGCTACATGTTGCTGAGTGTTTCACTATTTGATCCAAAGCATCCACCTCCTTTCTTTAAATCTTAGCATATATATATATATATGTGTGTGTGTGTGTGTGTGTGTGTGTGTGTGTGTGTGTGTGTGGAGACACCTTTTTGGAATTAGAGTACTTACAGTCTTTTCATGGGTCCACACACATGTCATTGCTCTCATTAGTTCTGCTCTTGCTTTCCCTCCATTCTTACTAGATGAGTGTGTCTCAGACCATCACTATCACCATGTATCTTCAAGCTGAGCTTGCTGGACTGAGGGTCCAGCTCATTAGCATTTTGCAGCCTTTGGTTGGGGGACATTTGGTCATATAACACAAGAGAGGGGGCTTTTATGGGCAGTAGGGTAAACAGTGCTTAGCATATCACACAGCTGGTGCTATCTTTGTGATTATTAGGCAAAGGATAGAAAGTATGGTAAAGGAAGTGATGTCTTGCAGGAAACAAAAGAAAATAAAAAAGAAAATTGACTGTGACGTGCTTGTGTCTCTATCTGCTTGCTCACATTTAATGAAGCATTACAAATAAATGTAAAAAGCAGAAAAAGCAGTGTCTTCTTGCTTCTTTTCATGAAGAATGATTGAGGATTAGTGGTTGCAGGTATCTGTCAGTGTTTCTCTTGTCCCAGTCTTTGTCTTTGTGAGATGGAGAACATTTACGAAATAACTCCACATGGAAGAGAATTGCTTTCTCAACTTCTTTATATGCTTATCCGAGACTGCACCGCATTCTGGCATGAGCTCTGACATCCTCTCCAGGCCCTGCATGTTGCCCTAATGTGAGAACTGAAGAATATATTATTTTTGCTTCATGTCTCAATATATTCCAAGAACTCATCACACTTATAGAGCAATATGCATGTGAAAGGATGTCCAAAAACTTATTCCAGAATAAGATGTCATGTGTTTTTTAGGTCTATCATTAATGTTTAAATAATGCTCTCAATGCAGAAAACAGTCACATATTTATTACATTGTCTAAGATCACATTCTTCTTAGTATGGTGTCCTGGTTAGAATACTTGAAGATGTCACATTTGGATGATGCTATGTCCACTTTATTGTGTGCTAATGAGTGACATTCTGATTCGTTTGAAGGGTTGTGCTAAAACAGTACCACTACATACAACTCTGCCAGCCAATCCGAGATATTGGCTGGGTCCAGACTCTAAAGCAACACCTGTGGGGCTGTGCACTACCCAATCCCAGGTAACCAACCACAAGAGCAATGAAAAGAAATAAACTGCGAGCCACAATTGCCTCTCATTCCCATTCATACATGTTCATGGAGTTGTGATTTACTTTTGTTTTCTATTACAGTGGCACAGTTTTGTTTTTCCCGTGAACCCCCACATTTTCTCTGGTCTGCTCCTCAGGTCATAGCCCCTCTGTGTTTCTCTTCCATATGGACACTAGAATAGGGGGCTGAATGGGGCTGTCTGACTGCCTTCTGTCACATCCTTAAGATAACCTTTAGGAGGCCACAGGTTTACTCCAGTCATCTCTAACACCACAAACCTTTGTCTGATGAAATTCACACGCTCTTCATGGTTCAAACAAATTGCATGACAATAATTCGCCCGAGGAGGAGAGTGGAGGTCATTCACACACGTACCTGTAATGCTTTTTAAAATAAGCTTCAGTACTTTGCATCTCAGCTTCTTGTCACTGGATAAAAATGTCATACTTTTTTGGTTCTGTCTAAATCTGCTTGTAAAGCATGCTGCCACTGTTTTCACTTGGACCTGCAGTCTGAGCTTGTGTTCATACTGTAAATTTTGCACTATATCCAAAATATCTTTTGAGTTTTAGCATGCATATAACTGAGGTAAGGAGGAATGGGATGAGGGATGTGGCTCTGCTTTGGAATGAGACCATTCAAAGGAAATTGTAAGTGCATGTTAATGATTTTCACTCACTCTTTGCATAGCTAACTGATTCCCATTCAAATGTGATTTAGACTAGATTTTGACATAACGCCCTGCATCTCTTTGATGGAGCATCCCGAGACCCTCATTACACTACTGACATCCTGTAGTAAGTCACTGTGATTAAATAATTACAGTAAATCAAAGTATACATTTAAACCAATGGCCCCTGTTGATCAAAATGCTAAGCTGCACAATCCATCACTAGAAACAGACCAGAAGCTTTGTTTTTACATCCATGTTATATTTTCACAATTTGCTAGTTGCTAGATTTCATTAAGATTAGCATGAGGTATTTTTTATCCATATTAATATCTGTGGCAAGCAAACAGGAAAGGAATTGACATTTCATTCCTAAAACAGAAGCCTGATATTGTCCTCTGAAATGAGCCTTTCACAGGGTGATCAGCTCAGCTCAGCTCAGCCCAGTAACGTGTTGTTCATCTGTGACAAAAGCCTCATCATGTGTCTCTTTCTGTCTCCTTCTCCTTCTCTGGAACCTTAACCATTTGCTGCCTCCTAGAGATGCTAATGAAGAGGTTCTCCGACCCAGTTATCATCATTCCCAGGGTGCTGCTGGAGGAGAACCACAACCACCACTGGAAAGCCCCGAACCTCGGAGGAGCAGCGGAGTCGTACGCTTTGCTCTAGATGTGAACCAGACTGAGTAGTTGTGCGCCATAAAGAATAAGGCAGCTTCACATTTATATGGAGACTGTTGCTCTATAATGTAAATATCTAGTATTTCAGCTGAATTAGGAGGTGAACATTCCTCTGTCCGTGAGGAAGCCCACATATGTGAAACATGCATGTTTGAAAGAGTTTTTGGCTCAAAGGTCCCAACTGTTTGACCCATGGCATTATTGCAAAGGTGCTACATCATTTTATGGTTTCATGCATTTTATTTTAATGGAGTATGTCAATATTGTTAGAAATACCACACCATAAAGTGCTTATACAACGGTTACAAAAACTGAAATGTACATCAGTTTTAGTGTTAATAAATGAACATAACTTGCAGATTGCCATACTGTATTTTAATCTTTGTTGTATGATAGGAAGTGATGTAGACTTCAGCATGTGGCTTACAGTAGAAGCACAAGAGTCCTAAATCTAGATACAAAGTGACACATGAAGTTTAAATGTGTAACGAGGATGTGAAGTCTTCCTTCACTTGGTAAGTTTCTGTTTCACCATAAATCTGAGTTTAACACACATACATATGTACGTTCAGGGTTTTGTAATCTCACAAATCATTTGGAAGCCAGTTGATGTCCGGTATGCAACTTACAAGTATAGTGTGGCAGCTCGAACCCTTCAGTGTGCATATATGCTGAGAATGGACTTTTCAGTGAAGTAGGAGACCTCTTGTAAAAATGGAATTTTAAGAGCAAAGTTATTTAACCTTTTTGTGGACAAACCATATCAGATGTAGATTAATATTCAGAATATTTTTATATGTCTTAAAAGGGTACACCACCGATTTTACACACAAAGCTGGAAATAAATTCACAAATTTGAAGTTTCTAGATCAATAGTAGCTTGCTGATCAAATGACCTGATGGGTCCAGCTGAAGATTTGGATTTGTAGAAGGAGGAAGCTGTTGTAATGATGGTTGACTTGGTGTTTATTTTGGTGCTGGAGGTGTGGTATGCAGCACCCACTAAATGGCCTTTTTGTTGTTATAGCAATGCAAAATTGATGAAGCACTCTTTTACAACATGTCTGGGGGCAGTCTGAATGTTGTATTGTGCAATAATTAATAAAATGTAATTTATTTAAAATTAAATCAGGAACTCACTGATCAGAGAATAAGCAAACAAGATTACGAGTCTAATCCCATATTTAGTGCCAGCTTCATTTGTGACCGTTTTCAGCACACTTCAAACACATTTTGCTTGGTACCAAAGAATGATTTGAGGCTTGCTTTCCATGAAGTTTAACCCAACAAATGACAGTGGAACAAGTCTGGAACTAAAGCCTGTCAATTGTCAAAAACTCCACTTGTTCAACCATGGTTTCCCTGCTGGACACAAACTAGGACTAGACCTGTTACCTTGCACGTCCTGGCAGATGTGCAAACAACAACAAAAAGGAACGTGCCATGGATTGGCACTAGCTGCCTTTTCAGAAGCCATTATTGGCAACGTTTTTTGTGTGCCTCATTAAGGCACATGCTAATACTGTATTTCATTCATGGCTTCAAGTCCAGTATGTAGTGAGAGAAAGAGAGGTTAAGATCCAGTACAGTAGGGGGAGGGGCTTGATAAAGAAGCTGCTTTGAGGTTTTGGTATAGAGAAACTGTGTCCTTGTCACGTGTCATATTACTCCTTCATTAGGCTGCCCTCCTCTCATTACTGCTGGAGGGTCAGAGGTTCGAATCTCGGTGCCTGCAGTGTAGAAGTGTCCTTGGGCAAGACACGCAACCCCCAAGTTGCCCCTGATGGTTAGAGCCATCGGTGTGAGCTGGCGCCGCAGATGGCTGCCTCGGTTCTGTACCGAAAACAAGTTCCTGGTGTGTAACATAGTTGGCCAAATAAAGGTGATTATGCACACATGACCACGATATGCACATGCAGTGGCCTACAGCATTGTTGAGCTCCTTGCGTTAAAGATGGAGCGTTGCCACAGCTTCTGTTGCTGATGGAGATTTATGGCATTTTTAATTTTGTGCATCAAGACAGTGCTGTTTTTAACAATCAGTGTGGGAAGGGGATACAACACTGTCAGTCTTAATCAGCGAGTCAGCCATCTTGATGAAGCACTAACAATTCAAAACTCAGACTGTGCAAGAAAAAGATTACCATTGTTTCTTTAATGTTATAGTTTAGCACATCTGCAGTGCAACAAATGGGGTGGGGGTCCAAAAATTCACTTTCATCTCTCTCATTGTTACTTTTGCTTTGATACTATTAATGCAACCAGTGATGACCAGACCAAACCTTCTTCAAAGAAATCTTCAGATGTACATCTTCAACAACAGAAAACAGGAAGTGTTCGTGTACCACACTGTAAGTCAGAGTCCTGCCTTGAAAGAACAAATTTGGCACTAATTATAAGAAAAACTGACACAGTCGTCAGTTGCTACACTTCTTAGTATCTAGTGTGACCTACATGGTCATATAGTCCGTCATTAAGACTTTTGACTTTTTTCATGGACGTTTCACTGAACAAAGCCAACATGACTAACTAAACACATGTATACTACAATCTGCACTAAATCCAGGAAATTCCTATCATATTATTAGGAACTGAAAGGACCTGTATAAAGCTTTACTGCTGAGTTTAACTACTTGCATACTGTTGATTAGTTCAGTGGTTTCTTATATTTTCATTGTATGTTTTATATAACAAACCTTCAAACTAGTAACAACAGTAAAAAGTACAATATTTCTCTCAGCTGTACTGGAATAGAATAATGAAGTGGCATGAAATGGAAATATTCAAGTAAAGTACAAGTACCTCATGTTTGTAGTTAAGTAATACTTAGCAAGCAAATGTCACAACACAGGTGAATAAAGTTATCACTAGACAGTGCAATTACACTGCTCACATTTGAAGATTACAGTCCAGTAATGCACTGCACAGGGATGTGCAGGAAGGTCTTGAACTGGTCAATAAAAACACACCACGATGATAAAGTAGTAATGACCTGTGTCAGTGAAAACCTTTTCACAGAATGTCACACACACACAAAGCATAAACTATGTTGAATGTCTCAGAGCTGCCCTGACCTGGATGAACAGAGAGACACAGAGACAGATGTGAGGAAGAGGGCAGGAAAGAGGGAGGCCTGTGGAGGCACAGATCTTATTACAGCCATTATGAGGGATGTTGCTCTGCTGCTTCCTGGAATATACTGTACATGTACATGGTGGAAAAACTCATTTCTCCTCCAGTGCACCTCCCTAATCCCCAAAGCCTGACTGTTGTTGGGAACCACTCCCTGGTGTTTAACACTTTCTGTGTGTACACACCTGGTATTAGTCACATTGTGGGGACCAAAACATGTTTACACATCTACAGTGTGGGGACTCGGTCTTCTTCCTGGGGCTCAGGTGCGGTTCCCACCATGTTAATCACTGAAATATTGCGTGATGACTAGGATTGATGTTAGGTAACCCTAACATCAATCCTAACCCTAACGGGTTAGATCAAAGGCAGGGTTATGGTTAGTCTTCAGGAAATGCATGTACATCAATGTAAAATCCCCATGTGGAATGACAACAAATGTGTGTGTGTGTGTGTGTGTGTAGGTTACAAATGATCAATAATCTGAAAGTTGCTGTTTTTAAAAATCAAATATAATCCAAGGTTATCCAAAGTAGATTAATTACAAAACACTGCAAAACACTCTTTAAAAGAGACGAGAAAATCTGAGGTTGAAGCAGAAGCATTTTCATAACAAAATCTGAACAGAGCAATTGTTTTATATCCACCATAAAGACACACCACAACTTACTTCATGCTTTTGAACTGAAAGGCTTCCCTACTTTTTTCTCCATTTGATTGCAGTTGCTCTCCCTCCCTCCCTCCTTGCATCCATCATTCCCTCCATCTCTGCACTGGGGCTGTTGCCATAGAGACTGGTTGCCATGTGTCAGAGGGTGAGGCTGAATGGGTTAATTAAGAGGCGGAGCATTTGCAGTACTCCAGATGGCAGTAAGCTGTGCTTCTCTGTGGGCCTCCTGGGACTTCCTCTCACAGAGAAAGCTTCTCCTGTTTAGTATTCACCACCATCAATTTAGGAGCGGCATTTTTGACCCTGTCGTCAACTATGTGGGATTATGGAAAGTATGTGGGGGGGGAAGGATCTGCTCTGCTGAACTGAGAAAGGCTTATTGGAAATCATTTTTCCTAGCCACTGATCGGTTTAAAGACAGAACATACTGTATATAGCTGACATCTGAAAAAAGGCAAAAGGCTGGCTGTACATTGACAACAACCTTATACTGTTTTCATACCTTTTGCTGTACTTTGTAAACATGGTAAACATTTTAGCCCTTGTCTGTGCAGGAAGCCATCTTGTATTCTTGCATTGTTTTTTTTTTGGAGTTGAAGAGTTATGTTAGCAGCACCCCCAGGTGTCTGCATTCATACAGGACATGTTTATTTTCACAACACAGCACAAATTAAGTTTGTACAAGAACAGAATGAATATTTTATAAGTGTAACAAATAGCAAAAATATTGTAGAAAAATAGCAGCTTAAAGAAAATAAAGTGACAACTGCACAATATTGTAACTGTATATTTTAAGGATATTTGACTACATGAACATCATCATTTATACATATACACTAATACATACATAGATATACAATGCAAACTACTTTATGGCAAACTAAATACTTATTTAGTGAAATGTTCTATACCTGATACCTGATTTGAATGTAACTGGGAAAATTACCTCTCCAGCATCTTATGTCTTGCTTATTGTTGTGATTTTTAAGATATTTAACAAAAGATACATATTGATAGTATGTTATTTCATTTTTAAAATATTTGTAGGCTCTGCACATGACCTTGCAGTACACAACTACAGTGTCATTTTAATAACTTAAATACATGTGGAGGGGGCAGCTGGAAAGTAAACAGCCAGTTTTTTGAATGGTGAGAACTAGTATGTGAACGGTGAAACAGTGACACCTAGTGGTAGCTGTACGTTAATAGACTACTATTAATCTGCTGTTGCAAGAAATGCTTAATTTTTCCAGTTCTGTGATTGTAGTTGAGGGTGCTGCTGCAGCCCTAGGCATTAAAGACAAGGTAAGTGAAGTTCTCCTGCTTGGGGTTGATATTGAAGTTGTAGTGTCCAATGCGGTTCCTCTGGTAGTAGAGGCAGACAAAACCAACTATGAAGAAGATCGACAGACCTACTCCAAGACAGGCAAAGCCAACTATTTGTAGATAATTTAACCCCTGATCCAGATTTTCTGCAAGAATACGAGTCAGGTGCAATAATTAAAAAACAATAAACATAAAAAGAAACTACAGAACAAGATTAGGTCTACTGTAAAAACAAACAAACTATATATATATATATATAATTTACTTCAAATACAATACTTCAAGTATATTTTAACAAGTTCAGGGCTGTTCATGACTGTGTTTTCCATCAAACTACTGTCCTTAAACCTGCCTCTTATAATGGCCAGTGAAGACTGTATTAGGTTTTCCACTTTTAAAACTGACCAGCTCAGCAGTAGCAGAATGGAAGCTGGAGTGTTGTTACTTGAGTTAAAACCCATGTTTGCAGCAAAAAATGTTTATTTTGAACAGAACTACACATTATAAGAGAAGAGTGAAACACTATTAAGTAGACACTGTTGTTCTCTATTTAAAAAAAACAACTCACCGTCATCATTTGCTTTGAATACAGGTCCAGAAGTACCAATAGCTGTTCCAATTCTGTTTGAAGCCCGAGCACTTCTTTGCCGACAGGTCTGAAGGAAAACAAAGCAAAAATGATAAAGGAAAGATTTTGATTATTCTTCTTATCTTGAATATTCAAAATATTAGATGCCTCTGCTTCAGTCAAAATGGGGCATTAGTTATTTTAGATTCATCCACCAAAGGCTGCAAGACTGAATTTTTATAGTGTGTACTCACAGGCACACAGGTGTCCAACCCACTCTCTAAACAGATGTGAACCTGACAGTGCACGTAAATCATATCCAGGTTGACGAAGGCGAATATCTGCACAGACACACGAGATTTGCTGGAGTTCCCATTCATCAACACTTCAGTGTATGAGTTCAGAGGACAGCTGTGGACACAGTGACAAGGAAGTAAGACTTTTGACTTTTGACTATGCTTAAAAAAACACCTGTCTTGTTACAACCTGTTTTAGGTCATAATAAAACCGAAACACAGACCAAAGTCTAACTAAACTGTGGTGACTTGGTGAATCAGTGACCCCACCAGTGACACTTCTTCAACCACTGACCGTGAGCTGCTTACTGGGCTGACTGACTGTTCATTGTTGTCACTATTGTTTTTCTAAGATTTGCAGACAAACAAGGTTCATTTGATTCAGGGGCTCCTAATGTTAAATCATCAAATCAAATAAAATTATAAAAAGCAAACAAGTGCCATTACAAATATTTTTACAATTGAATTTCAGCAGTTTATATGTTAGCTTAAACAATGAATTTTATGTCTGACTCATCATAAAACATACGGGTGTCTGGCTGCAATATAGCAGACCTTTTATTAAGGCAGATTACAGCATACGATGCAGCACACGTGTTTAGTCTGTGAGCTTATTTTTAGGTCCAGTCCACCCAGGAACCCAGGAAATGGAGTGTTGTCATGGAAATCCGAGTATCAGTACCATTAGTACTTTCTTTTGAAAAGCAAAGAAGGAGCTTCATGTTGATTATGTGGAAAAACTGAGTACCTGCTTTTAAAACCTAATTATCTCATTATCATTTTATTTCAAAACAAATGTCCCTTTGAGGAAATAACTCAAGATAACAATATATTAACTTGTGATCTTGAGATTAAGGATAAATATTAAATGAATTACATTAAAATGAAGATGCTCTCAGTTTCCCTACTAACCTTCTTAACAAACTGAACTTTACCACTTTTTAAATGAAACATCAGTATATAAATGTTAGAAATGTGTCAGTACTACACAGAATGTATAGTCCTGACCTCAAAGTTGTGATAGTCTGAAGCTGTGGAAAAACTTATGGCAGTAGTTTTTGCACATACTGTATAAGTGAGAGAGTGTAAATATATTAGCAACAGTATTTGAAATACCAATAGCAACAGAAAAGACCAGTGGTAGGAACACAGTGCTGAAAGCAGAAGCAGACCTGTTCTCCAGGAAGGTGTAGCTGGGGGTGTCTGTAGGGTTTGGGGTAGGAGTAACCCAGCACTTGTTCATGATTACATTAATCTTCTTTGAGGAGGTGTTCAGGCTGGCCTCCACCACCACGACCTCCCGAGAGGACATACTATAGTTGTGGGGTAGCGGTATTGTGCCGTTCATCAGCTGCACTGTCACATGGAACGACCCCGAGCCTTCGACGGCATCTTTGAATGTTTCATACCTGGCCATGGGTGACAAAACAGCATACACTGGGTCAAAAATCCAATTGGAACATATTGCAAAAACCGTTCTGGGTTTTAGATCAAGCAAAATATTTTGGCTATGACTAGACAGTTACACTTCAAATTGATTTCTTTCAGGCATTTTTAGAAACAAGGGTGTGGTCTACATCACAAAAGGAGTTCGATAAAGATGAATCAATTGAAACAAGAGTTAGGAGCTTGCTAGTTAAGTGCTGCTGAAAATTGCTGTAATTTACATCTTACAAGCTCTTTTTGATATTTTGGACATTTTGTGAAATTCAAAGCTCTTTCTTGCCAGTTGTATGGTGTATACTGTATGTGACCCAGCAGACAGTTAGCCTAGCCTTAGCACATAGACTGAATACAGGAGGAATCTGGTATTTTGGCTCGATGAGACAGAACCAATATGCTAATTAATTAACACATTGTATCTTGTTTGTTGAGTCCTACAAAAACCCAAGTGTAAAAATGGCAAGTTGTTGTTCTACAGGGTGCTAGGAGCCTATTACCTGGTTGAGACCAGTTACCAGGAAACCAGTGGAGACTGGACTGGGTTGCACCAGATGTTCATAAACCCATTATTACTTTGAATAAAAACCTTACTAGCTAGCTTCAAACTATTGATTCTGTTAATCAGTTTGCACCTTTGAAACTGTAATTCTTAAAAATGTTCTTCTAGTTTTTAAAAATTACAGTTTCAGAGGCACAAAATATATCTCTGTAAATGTAGTTTAAAAAATTTTGATGTGTGTGTTTCAGAGGTAGCAGTACCCATAGACTTTAGAATTAGTGGGAAATGTCCAATTATGCTAGCCTACCCGGAGGAGCCAGAGTTAGCAGAGAGAACCATGCTCTTCAAGAAGGTACACATGATGGGAACTTCCAGCTGTATTCTGGGTACCTCCACTGTTCCATTGGGTGAGGTGTATGGATCCATGGTGTTGAACAGGGTTACAGATGCTGTGTAGTAGGTTTCATTCTAAAATATCAGATGTTGGAAGGAGTTTATGTTCTTTTCAGAATTAATAAGCTTTCATTGTAAAGACAAAGTACTGAAAAACATAGGATCAACAAAACATGCAGGAGCATGGGAAAAGGCACACGTTTCCCAAATGCATATCTTTTTCAGTAGAGAAAAAAAAACTTACTTGCACAAGCCTAGTGTCACACTCATCCCACCCTGCAGTCAGCTGGGCATGAGTGTCATTGCCTCCATTGACGCCACATTCCTGCAAACCCAAATATAGGGCGCTCTCCCTGATCTTGGTGTTCAGAAGAAAATTCCTGGCAACTGTCACAAAGATGACAGCAGTCCTGCACTGAACTGAGATGGCCCCAGAGGCACTGTTGACAGTTCTTGGAGCAATAAAATTAGTTGTAGAAGCTGTTGCGGTGGTAGCGGGGATGGTAACTGTGACTGGAGGGGTAGAAGTCACAGATGTCATTGGAGTTGTGGTGGTTGGAGTGTGGGTAGTGGTGCTGGTAGAAGAGTCTGTAGAAGTGGTTGTAGGATTAGTAGTGGTGGTAGGGACAGTAGCTGTTGTAGGCATGGTCATAGTTTGAGCAGTGGCAACCACTGAGACTCCACTAACTGCAAGAACTGTGACTGGGGAAGTGGTTGAAACCAGTGTGGTAGATGCAGCTGTAGTGGAAACCATTTCACTTGTTGATATAATGACTGTGGTTCTCCCTGGAGTAGTGGGTACAGTGGTTAAAGGCGGATCACTGGTGAGGGGTGTTATGTGAGAGAAATGGGTCGTGCTAAATGTAGAAAATATCATCGGTGTCAGGGAAGGTGACATTGTCTCCAAGGTAACAATTGCTGCACAAGACAAGATGCTCTGGTTACAAATATAAAGATATTCTGTTATTAGAGCTGTGTAAATGAATGAATTAACCAGGGCTCTGACAGCCTACCTTCACAGAATCGTCCAGGCCTTTCTGGGTTCTTGTCTGTATATCCGTCCAGACAAGCACATGTGTAGGAGCCCCAGGTGTTATTACATGTAGCCCACTGGGAGCAGTCATTTGTTCCTGGAGCACATTCATTTAAATCTACAAAAAAAATCATATTTTAGATCAATAAATCAGGCTATGTTTTTCATTACTATTGTACTGTAGGCTCCTGGCTTGCAAATTATTTTTACTTAATAACCAGACATGACAAAGCCTCTACACTATATTTTGTTTGTCTGACACTTGATTGAATTTTGCAGACTCTTGGCTGCTTACAAGTGAACTGCCAAACAAATAAATTGGCCTTGCCTTGTGACAGAAGAAAAGACAAATATAAGGCTCTGTAACCTTCATTTGACAGTGGCATCTGTGGTCAGCCTGAAGTTGAGAGACTCACACAATTTGTATTAAAAATGGTCAAATTTGAGGCAAAGAGGCCAAGATCTAAAATGGCTGAATCCTCCAGTTTCCACAATGCAACTCAATGGCATCTTTGGATATACTGTACCTAACTATTTGGTATACTATTTACCCAGGCTGAGTAGTACTTACCTTGACAAACTAACCATAATTAGTCTTGATGTGTAAAATCAGACTTTGTTCAAGTTTGCAAAAAAATTTCAAGACTTTTCTTCTAAGCCCTTCATATGAGTTTTATACCTGCTGTACCAGCATTTGGTTTCATAAAATACATCTTTAGAACCCAGAGTAGAGTGAGCTGTACCAGTGATGTTTGTTCCATCCACCATGTATCTGGTGCTGTTCATCAGGGAGTGCAGCAGAGTGCTGGACACATTGCTGATGTCTTGGCTTTGACTGGAGATGGTGAAGTTGACCACCACACTGCCAGGTGAAAAGCTTGTGATCTCAATTCTCACTTGGCCTGAATCCACCATGGCCCTCATCTCTGGAGATAGAGACTGATAGATCTGTTGATGACAAAGGAAAAGTCACAGTCAGAATACTGATGAGTAGATGAGACCATAAAACTTGCCTTGTTAATTCACTGACATGGACATCTTTACAGTGCGTTAAAGTCTTTTAGACCAGCACATTCTGTAGCATTCCTACCTCCTCTATAATACTCGCACTGAGGTTTTTGTAGGTCTCGCTGCTGGTGTTGCGCAGGTCATCAGTAAACTGGATGTTGGTGAGTCGAGCTGTGGCATCAAGTGTGTGAGCATCTACAAAGAAAAGCCTGACTTAATAAACACATTTTCCACAATGTCAGCCTTCTCAACAGCCTTGGGCCTACTGGTTAAAAAGGGAGTCTTCATCACACATTAGTCATTAAGGGCAACTAATAATAACAATTATGAACTCCTAACGCAGAACTGTAGTAATCACAAACTGTAGCTTTATGACACAACTGTATATGAATCCAGTAGTCTGAGCCACTGGAACAATCTGTTCTTACCAGTTTTGACCAGTGTACAAAAGCCAGGTCCTTGGTTTCCACAGGCATGAGGTATAACAGTAACATTGTAGAGCACCCCAGGCTGCAGTCCCCTCACCTTCACCATGGTCTGATTGGTTTCCCAAAAATCAATGACCTCCAACCCCTTGTTTAGAAAAACCTGGTAGGTCTGGTTTGTCTGACCCTGGCAGGACCAGTAGACACAGAAGCTGGTTCCAGTGACATTAGCCGACCATAAACTGGTGATGTTGGAAGGAGCTGGAAGGTGGTGGTAGGTAGAAGGAGAGACATGGGGCCAGTGAACAGGGTTATCATTCATTCATTGTGGTTAAAGGAACAGTTTGGCACTTCTTGGGAAATATGCTTTAAAATGTTGTTTAAAAACATTCCCAATAAAGCAGAACTCTCACTTTGGGTTGTTTGTTTTTCAGTGTGGAAAGGCCCATTGTTACCCGCTGAGGCTGTTGGGGTGAAAATGTCCTCTACAGCTGCAGTTTTCACCAACCTTCAGCTGTCTGTTGTCAGAAGGCACCAATTAACCTGTTGTGGTTTGTTACACCACACTGAGGTGAAGGTGACACCACACTAGAAAACCTATTTGGGCAAGTGACACAAAGCTAAGTTTGGAGGTGTTTTCACAGTAATTTTGGGTTTAAGTGTAGTGCACAGCTTCTTCCAGGAACCTTACTGTGGAAACTAGCCCCAGTCGCAACGGGGAGTATTTACAACTGCACCTAGTCAGGAAATAGTTTCACACATAAACTCCTAAAACCCCAACATGTAATCTTTGTACTTTGGTTTTTAATACAGATTGAACAAAAAACATATCATGCTTTAACTATAAGCTTTAGATATGTTGGCAGGTGGATTTTGTTAAGTGAGCCATCCTGTGTGATGAGCTAAATTAATGGGCTAGGGGGGCAACTTTATATCTCCATTACAGTGAAGTAGTATTTATCTTCTTATTTAACTCAGCAAGAAAGCAAATAAGCACATTCACCATAATGTCAGACTATGCCTTTATCTAAATACCATGTTGATATTAAACTAAATGTGCTCATCAGCACTTTTTGAATTAAATGCTTTTGACTAAATCTAATTATTACTCCTACTACTACTACTACTACTACTACTACTACTTTCAGCTGTTCCCGTAAGGGGGTCGCCACAGCAAATCAACTTTTCGCATGTATACATTTGGCAAGCGTTTTAGACCGGATGCTGTTCCTGACGCAACCCAAATTGGGACAAAATCTAATATTTCCTCTAAAAAAATGTGAATACTTTCTATTCAGACATAACTGCTATTTTGACTCGTAAATTATGATTTAGGGATTCTACACTTCTTTGAGATCAAATATTTCTTACTGCATGTGGTTGCTGTCGTGGGTAATGCCACAGTTGAGTTCATGCTGGTAGAAGGTTCAGGATTTGTCCACTGTGGAGCATGTGATGAGTTATAAGTTACAGAGCCTGTATTACTCAGAGCTGTAGTCATGCTGGCGTCGGAGTGGTTGAAGGCAGTCCTGTTGCCGGGAAGGCCAGCAGCGGTGCTGGAGGCTTGGGTGGAAGTTATGTTTATGGGTGTAAGGTAGGTCAGCAGGGGCTTTGTGGTGGTCCACACGCTGACATTTGCTAAAGGACAGAGAACAATGTTGAAATCAATTTAAGTTATGGCTCAGCTGTGTATAAAAATATAAGAAATCTGTGAGGATTGTGGTTTATGTCTGATGAAGTTTGTCCTTTTTAATTATTTATTTACCAATAGGTACTTTAACAACATTTCCTCAGCTGTACCTTAAGCCTTGTTTCTTGAAGTTCAACTTTTAGCAAGACAGTGTGAAACAAATAATGTTTGAAGAGTCATCCAACCTGATCATATGCACTTATGCACATATTCTCTAATTTACTTAAATCACACAATAACGTTCTGTAGTGCACATGTAGTCAGATCTGTGCTGGTTCCTTCTCCCTCCTCCTCCATGCTTTCTCTTTCTTTTTCAGTTCCATGTTTACATGATACAGTCAGTATTAGATGTATTTTTCAGATCTTTTTTACTGCTGGACTGCCTATCAGTTATTAATGATGCACATTCTAGAAGAAATATGCTTAAAATATGTTAATAGCTGCTATAATAGAATTATTCTGCAGTATAAGCCTTTAAAGCCATTTTCTTTTTCTGTGTTTTTCTTTGTAGTTGTAGTGGCTCTCACTGCACCAGCAGTACCGCTGCAGCTAAAATGGCCTGTTGAATATCTGTATTGGCCAGTGTCTAGGGGGTCTGGGAGGAAAACAGCTGTTCTGTTGAGATGTGCTATGAGGCTCTCACAAACAGACTGACCCAGCAGAACAAATGTAATTGACTGTCTTTACATGTTTATCACTAAATTAGCAAAGAATATGTAAAAACTATCACAGTGTATTCACTCAGTTGTTTGTGCATGAACTTTACTTAACCCTAAGCAGAAGCACTCTGATAAAGCTTCCAGTGTTTTCTAATTCTTTGTCAGTTAGATCTGTTAAATGTGCTTCTGCACTGAAAAAAAGGACACAGCGGGTCTTTGGATTTACACAAATTATGCTAGTATATGCAACGCAATTCATTCATATTTCCTCTGTTAACATAATTCAAACAAGTTAACCCCAGAAGAAAATTATGTTGGTTTTACACATTATCATTGTGTGGGACCGATGTACACATTACAATCAAGTAAATCCAACAAATCTTTTTTTTCAGTGTGTATCTGATGTAGGAAAGCAACCCTGTCACATACTATAAATACTGTATTTTGGGCAGCAGATTAGCTAAATCATTTCTAAAAAGACTGGATCTCTCTTTTGCTTCTCCCTACAGGTCATGTAATTAAATAATGAGTCAAGGTTGAACTTGACCATGTCTCAGATAAATATCCTCTGCAGCCTAAAGACTACGAGCAGCTACATGGAGCCATCCATATTCCATTTGACTCTATGATGCTGTGCATATACACCATAGCCTACATTTACAGGTATAATGGGGTTATTTGTGGCTAGGATCAATGGATGCAGGTGGTGCTGGGGTGCCAAGGGGAGGAGCACTCCAGACAACAAGAGCCTTCCTAGTATTATATTTCCTCCAGCTTACAATTTATTATAATTTTACATTTACCTACCTTGGGTTTGGCTGTAGCAGTGGTTGACAGGTTAAAATAGGTATCATAATATTTAAGTACTATGTTTAAAATTACAAGATGGACAAATTTAAATGTGCTCCTTTTATTGATCTCTTACTGTACCGATCTCTCTATGCAGCTAAATCATTTGTGGTTATATTGTAAGTTCTTAAACCATTTGGATTGTCATGATTGGAAAATAAAATAATTTATTCACATCTTTATTTGTATTATTTTAGATCTTTACGTTTATTTTAGTCTTCCGTTATACTTTTTCTTTTTTAGAGCCAATACAGTAAAAAAAAAAAAAGATAAAAGTTAAATAAAAGTGGTACGATGAAAGATAAGATTTTGTCAGGTAAAAATAAGTGTTGTGTGGCTGTTGTGATTGTTACCAACTTCTCAGTTTGTGTATATAATATTTACTAATTAAATGTGCCACCGCAATTCACCCTACTTCCATTTGCCAACAGGTGACAATGATAAATTTCACATACGTACATATTTGCAACACACAGTTTCACCTATACAGTGGGTTCCAGGGTTGCGGGGGTCTGCATCTGTATATCCTTGGCGACAGATACATTGGTAGGAGCCCACTGTGTTGTGACAGTCTGCGAGAGGGTAGCACCAGTGAAGAGCAGATGCTGCACACTCATCTACATCTGCAATTAGAAAAACGAACATATTAAAAGGTTGGACTGAAATTATAATACATGTACAGCAGTACACTTTTTTCCTTCATGTATGTTTAGGACCATTGTCTTCCTGAATGATGAAATCCTGAACTTTGATGGATCTGTCTGAATCTGAGCACAGAATGTTCCTGTATTCATCATGTTGCTTCATCAGCAGTGAAATCGTCAATAAATGCCAGTGTACTAGTTCCAGTGGTAGCCGTATATGTCCTCGTCACAAAGTTTTCTCTTGGTTATTAACAGGAAAACAGACTCCTACACGCTGAAGAGCAATCTTGACTTGCTGTGCAGTCATAAGGGGCATTTCCTTCATCGTGAAAATGATGTTCCTGTCATCCACACAACCTTTGCTCCTTGCTCTACCCGGTCATTTGCCATTTCCTAGTTTTTCTATGACACCTGCTTTTTGAGAATGAACCCAGCTGTTGATTTTAGCAAACCAACCTTTGATATCTCTGACAGATTTTGTTTTTGTTTGTTTTTTTAGCTCATTTTGACAGACAGCTCCACCTCAATCTAAATGGCAGCTCTCACCTCTCAGTCAATTCAACCATGTACACACTCTTTTGTGTATGAACTAACATTGAAATAACACACACAGCTGCCCAATAAACATTCTGTAGCCCAATGTCCAACTACTTCTAAACCCTTACAATATGGGCACTATGTGTTCAAAGGGCCACATCTCCCACAATACTGATGAAAACTACTCAAAATAAAGCTTATGCTTTGTACTTTATTGTCGTATCCTTTAATTTATCTCAAACTGAATGTGCTATAGCACAAATCTGAAACACCTAAAATGTGTAACTGTCCAAATACTTACTGTATGCTGTTGAATATGGTTGTGTTTGGTTAAGGAGAAATGATTACAATATGTAAGTGTAAGCTGGAAATAACAGATACTGTTAGTGATTAATTCAATTTGTGGCTACAGTGTAGAGAAGGAGCTACATTTTCTGTAAAAGATATTGCTGAAGGCATCTCACTGTGTGCACGACGGCATGTCTTTTGTGCAAATGTAACAAGTGTGACTGATTTATGATTAATATCTGTGTGCTTGTGCACGTGTGTGTATGCACTTGCACTGGTGTTATTTTCCGCTATTGCAGGAAACATCCCACAGATGACTGTCACTCAAACAGAAGTGGTGGGAGAAGGAAACTGTGGTATGACTGAGTCATTTATTCCTGAACACAGTGTTCTCTGCAACATGAATCATTTCAAAAGTCTACAAGAACATTATTTTTCTGCAGATAAAAAGCCTGAAGCAGCTTCATAGAGACAAACAGCGTGTCTCCTCACCTTCCACAGTTACAGATGACACCTCCTCTATGTTTGTGAGAAGAAGGTGCAGCTTTGATGAGACACTGTACAGTGAATCACTAAAGCTGCAGTCAATCAGCAGTGAGGTAGCAGTTCTATAGGGGTGCACATCCCATGACCTGAGGTAATAGACTGAAACGTTTTCAGACTGTAGAGCTCCAGTCACCTAGTAGTGATAGACACAAAAACCAGCCAGTGTGAAATTAATGAAAGAAGAAAAATTTGCCTAACCCCAGAAGCCATCTTTTATATTTTAATTTTAATTTTCAGTATTACTAGCATTAATAGTGGTAATAACATAGTCATACATACAATATGTAGCAGAATTCTTAATAGGTAAAGACAGTATGAGTAGTAGTAGTATTACCATTGCCTGTAGTAATCTCGTGTGATTCAGAAGACCTTTTTCTTCAGACATCATTTGCTGGTAGCCTGTCTTTACTGTCACTGTTGCATTTAAATGGTATCCTCCGCCCTTAGAATAATTTGCTGAGCCTAAAATTTAAGTTGAAAGGGGGCGGTTAATTCAAATCACAAAAAAACATATTTTACACATATTTTCACAATCGATACTATGCAAATATAGAGATTACTATGCTGTAATTTTCATTTTAGCTACAGTTGCACAGCAATGGTTCCACAGACTCACTTTGCATGCAATGCTTCAGAGCTTTGAGTACATCAAACAACATGGACTTGATCTCTGTTGCATAGCAGGACTGGATAAAATGTGAGAAAATACAATTTTGGGATTTGGGTAAAATGACCCTCTAATAAGAGCACATGTCCAAGAAACCACACTGTCTGTTTACTTTAACAAATAAGAAAAACAATCAGGATGTATACTGACTTGTAGGATCACTACAGAGAGAGTGGCCCAATCCCTGGCAGCATTTCTGCCAGCCTGGGCAGTCCATGTCCCATTCACAGACCTCAGATTCAGGATACAATCCATCTGCAGTTGGACAGGATCCTGGCTTGGCAATAAACTCCCCACGCCTGTTTACAGCTTCATTCAAAAGAAATAACACGTTACAGGCCATATATTAGCAGCAAGATATTTGTAGCAGTGCAATTTCTGTTCCTCCATCTGGTGTCTTGCACACAGCATCACACACTGAAAGGTCATGGTGAGTGCTTGTATGTCTACAAAAAGTAATGCTGTATAACAAAATTTTATTTTGATAACACAGCGATGACTGAAATTTAAGAACAAACAATCCAGGAACAATTTGTGTTGTGATGATGATGAACTGATGTGCGGCACACTTACACAGGGCACAGTAACGTCCGACTTGCTCGTAACCGTCGCAGCACCTAGTCACCTGCTCCGTCACTGTCTTGTACTCAGTTTGATAAATCATCTTGTAAAGTGTGACAGTACATGTCTTCCAGAGGAGCCAACCACAAGGCTGTGTCTCAGTATAGGGGACCATATGCGTCACCAGGAAACTCACAGTCCTTGTCTCATTGTGGATACAGAGATGGTAGCCAGATGCAGACAGGCTGTTTTCTGGAATAAAATAGATCTTGTCAGTTTTATTGTTGGTTAAGGTCCCTTGGTAATTAATATCTGGCTGTATAATGACCTCAGATTTTATATTTAGGACTTGTCTCTAACAGTGCTCCCTAATTTAAATTTACTCATAACATAACACATTTCTATCATTGGTGACATTTAAAATGCTGAAAACAATCTATAGCAGGTGAAGCAAGAAGTGTAAATCCTCATAAACACCATACTCTGTTGTGGCAGTACATCGACTGCATGTTAATGTATAATCTCCATAGAGGCCTACCTTCATACATAGCGCTTTGTCCCCTATAGAGAGTCAGCAGGGTTGTAGCCACCCAGAGGCAGAGTGTCCAGTTCATTTTTCACAGATCAGAATGTCAATCTATTTAGTAACCACATTGTATGTGCATGTTTCTCTTTGAGACAAGGCTAACGCACTGTTCACAGTACACTCAAAGACCAAATCCTCTGTGGCTTGATCTTTCTCCACCTCTCATTGCACCATCAGTCCCTAATGTACCACAAAATCAGGACAGCCAGCAGATAATTAAAAAATTACTATAAAAGTGTGCAGTTATATTTGTCAATGTGCTGAAATTACATTAACTTCCAACTTGTAAATATATTACATTATTCACAAAACTTGATACTATGATGTATGGCACATGACAAGCTACTAAGTCTGCATATTACAAGAAGAGTAGAGATTAAAAAAAAAAAAGCTCTTGGTTCACATGATTTTCATAAAGAAATCCTTGCTTTAGTTTTTAGAGTAGCCCTTTTACTTTTTATTTGGCAGTATATTAACTTATTATTTGGCATCATCAGCATGAGTAAACATGTTTTTAATGCCAAGGATAGAGGAGAAGGATGGGTGGAGTCACAGTCCCTAATGACTGGGTTTCCACACAGGTAACCATGGCAGTGCTTGCTATGCTGCTGGCATTTATAGCTTGTGTCAGCCATTAATGTCAAGTAAGGAGGAGTGAGAACTTCCTTGCCACTTTTTCACACATCTTCATTCTCATTACGTGATGGAACAGCAGAGTGCTTCTGCTGTCAAACACATTTTCTAAAAAAAGACTAACCATTATCTGTCTTCACTTATACATTCACATTTGATGAAAGAAAATACTACAGGTCCACTGCATGCTAATTTTTGTAATGCATATCTACAATCTTTAGCAATTGTAGTTAATAATATAAAGGAATGAATAATAATAATTTTAGTCATGTTAGAATGAGTTATGTTTTAAAGTAATTAGGTGTGAAAATGTGCCTGATTAAACTTCCTTTTGTCATTTAGTGATAATGCAGATGTGCTGGGGTATGTGGATGTGGGGATCTGCAAGGCTAGCACAGGTCATCTAAGGTCAATTAAATACAGTTACACCACAAAAGATCATCACCAGAATAGAATATGCTGTTACAGGTATAAAAAAAAAGATAATCAGGAGTTTATTTAGTGTTCTCACTGCCAGCGCCACACCTGACTGGGTCATTGCAGGGTGCTGTAGCTGTGAGGCTTTCCCATAAGAGGCCTCTAACCAAATAAACATAGCAACAATTCCTAAGTGAAAGCCAGTTATGATTGAACTCTACTGCCATGCTATAGTGACTTCCATTCTGTAACACACCTAATTAATTTCACTGGGGATAGGGAAGCTTGCAATTACATGCATTTTAACATCTGCACCTCACAGTTTAAAACCAAAGACTATCTGCTTTGTAGAGGAATATTTAAAATGGGCATTAAAAGAAAAAATCATATATAATTTTTGTACCTACTGATATCAAAATGTTGGTTCTAGGTATTTGGAATGTATACACTCATAGCAAAAATATGTTTCCATCTAAGAATAAAACTAGACTTAAAATGTCCTGAAAACACTCACTTCCTTTACTGTATGTATTTACTTTTCCGATGACATTTCAAAAGTCATGTCTCTACCCTTTGGCAGTTTACTATAACACATCTGACTTAATATTAAACACCAACAGCTACAACCTTCTATACTTAATTCAGAACTATGCTTACAAATAATTTCAAAACAGTGTCAAGTACAAAGTCAAAAGGTAGGTTTTCTTGGTCATCTTTGAAAAAGAAAAAGAAAAAGAAAGACTATCCACTAAAACGAAAAATATGACATATCCCTTTAAACTAGCTCCACCGTCGTCTTCCTCTTGCCTCGCCTCCTGCTCCTCAACCAGCCTATCAGAGCGCAGCGCACGTGACGAGTGTTCTTTGCGATGACCTCATCCCTGGTGTGGGATGACGTCAAATTCAAGATGGATGGAATCACGACCAGCGCGCAGAAATCTACACAACACTGAATAAAGTCCTGGCTGTGTGGAGGAAAGACCGTATTCACGACGGGCAGGGTAAGTGTAGACAGGATATCAAACTTAACATGAAACCCAATGAGCAGCGAGGGTGAAACATAGTTGGTGGAGTGCTGATATGAGAAGCTTTTTCCTTTTCCTCCCTGACGTAACTAGAAAGGGGGGTTGTGCTGCTCTAAACCCTGACAAGCTACAGCCTGTTTTCGCGGCCAGCAACTGCGCCCTGTAAGGTTGGGGTGGACTATTTTGAATGGGGTACACCTACACCGGGGGTAACGGATATATTTCACTCCCCCACACTCCAACAACGTCTCTGTCTGCCCGCACGGTCTGGTTCCATCCCGGGATTACCGCGGTAGAGTCCACTGAAACGCGCTCAACTTTTCCCCTCTCGCCCGATAGAGCCGTTGTAATGTAGCCTCCGGTCTTTAGCCATTTACCCACACAAGAAGAGAAACGTGTGACTGTTTGCTAAACTGAAAGCGGCCCTTTCGGTTGGAGAAGTTACGTGTCATGAGAAATTGAGCCACGTCTCATGGATGATCCGTTGCTGAAAGCCTCACTCGACTTCCTTATAGAAAACTGACATGACTTTATATTCCCTCTTACAAGTTTTGATGAAGATGCCACTGGACGGTTGTTGGTTTCTAATGAATGAATGAAGCTTCTGCCTATGAACCTAATATAACAAGTGTCAATGTAGTCAATAAAAAGAAGCATGGCTTCCGGTCACATTAAAAAAAAAAGAATCGCCTAGATGAGCAACTTGCAGTGTCTGAGAGAATATGATAATGAAAACACATGAACGAGAACTATTAAAAAGGTCACTTTTAACACGAGAGACATGCAGTCTGTGTTGTGTTTAGAACGGGTGACTAATGCACCTAATAATGTACATATCATGACTGCTCTGTACCATGTTGAAGGCTAAACAATGGCTGTGCTCTAGTGCTCTAGGCAGTCACTGTGTTTATACATGAGAACAATACAAACAAATTACTTTTACCTTTATTAGAGTCTGAATCATCTTTAATGGCCCAGTATGTTTGAACATAGAGTGCAGAGGGTTTCAGGGTGTTTTAAGACAACAAGAAATAGACAATAACAGTAAGAATAAAAAGTAAACAATAAAAATTAAAATAAACAGTGTGCATTCATATAGAAATATATACAATCAAAACAGGAAAAGAATGAGAGGAAAAGAGAGCTTTTATAAATATATATGTATATCTATATAAATTACTGCATAAGAACTTTCAGACTGATATAGGCAGTGGTTATATTTACAGTTTCTTGGACTGTGGTGATTGCTCTGTCTAGTCATACTGTCATGGGTTAAGTGTTCGTCAGTGTGATGGCACAGGAGAAGAAACTGTCCCTGTGTCTGGTTGTTTTGGCATACAGTGTCCTGTGAACACTTAACCCATGACTGTATGACTGACAGAGCAATCACCACAGTCCAATAAACTGTAAATATAGCCATCAATATATCACTCTGAAAGCTCTTAAACCATAATTAGTTTTAGTTAAGGAAACGTCCTATAGCGGCAGCTCTGTATGTTGTAGTTTATCAGTAATGTGGTGAATACAGACAGAAGGAGAATATGGAAAGTGGCTATAAATGCAGGGTTTCAAGAAAATGTTTAGACTAGGCAGATTCTGACACATCTGTATCACAATTAGGGGTGAGGTTCAGTAGCATTTTATTCTTTATTTCAGTTATTTTACTCTGAATCCAGAGGTACCAGTACAAAAAGAAACTACAGTGATTAACAATCAAACCTAAACGATGTATATATGTAGAATGACAGTGTGTTTGAGTGATCAGGAGATTGTATTCCTGCCTTTTTCTTTGGACAGTAGAGAAAAGAGAGTAAACTAAGAACGTGAATGGGAATTCGTTTGGCCACAGAGCTTCACAAATGCAGGTATTTTACCAAAATAGAACCGGCTATCTATCAGAGCCCCTTCTTAATTACAGTCAGTTTACTTAGTACTGTAGATATGGCAGTTGATCTGTATCACATCTTTTTAAAAATAATTTTAATGGAGACCCTGCCGTTGGTGAGCAGAGGCTACATTTGAGCGGTGACTGCTGTGGATGAAAAGCCTTTAATTTATATGCAAACTTTATAAACCTCCTGCAGAAGTCTGTGTCGGTGAGGGTGATTTGACAGAGCGACATTTACAGTCTCACTAATAACATGATGTAGTGCCCACTAACTTGCTGTATTGGTGTACACCACCACACTGGTAAAGAGGTTCAACTTTGACCTCTAGTCATCACCATAAACAACAGCCAGAGCAAATAAAAATTGCCAAATACTATTCTGCTGTAAACAGTGTGTGTAAACATTATGTACTGGTATGATCTACCTGCTATTCGCTGAGCATATCTCTGACACTGTGTTGTGGCATGAGAAACCACAACAGACACAATCATTTCTAGTGTAATAGAGCAATAGGTTTTGTTTCTGAGCACCAGTCAGCTAGTATTGTGTATGTGAATGTGCCTCTTCATGCAAACAAACCAGTTTTGTGCATACTTAATGATCATCTTTTTATTTACACTCCTGCATTAAGATTCAATCCTCTTCTCTTGTCTTTCAGCCATGGAGAGCCTAGTGCATTACACCAACCCCTCGCACGCCCTCTCGGTGTTAGGGGTTCTCAATGAACAGCGCCTGCGGGGCCAGATGTGTGATGTAGTGTTGATTGTGGCAGATCAGAGGTACCAGGCTCATAAGAGTGTTCTGGCTGCTAGCAGTGAGTATTTCCAGTCCCTGTTCACGCGGAGGGATGCAGAGTCATTGAAGGTTGTAAACCTGGACTTCTGTGAGCCTGACGCCTTCGAGATAGTTCTGAATTACATTTACTCCACCTCACTCTTTGTAGACAAAGGCAGCCTGGCAGCCATTCAAGAGTTGGGCTACAGCCTTGGAATCCCTTTCCTCACCAACATTGTGTCAACAAGGCCACATGCATCCTATTGTGTGTCTGGAAAAAGACTTTCGTTCTCAGAGGGAGAGGAAAATGATATCCAGACAAGGAGTGTTATTGTGTGTCGGGTCCGGAATGACACAACCCATCCCTCTCGCTCAAATTATCAAAGAAAAACATCAGAGAGATCATCATCGCCACACTCTACTCGAGAGCCGGCTCAGCCACCATCAGAACATAACTCGTATGAATCAGTTAAAAACTCTGAATCCGTCCACAAGAAATCATCTGAACAGGGTGAAGCTGCTGAAAGGAAGTTCACTTATCCATACACCTCTATATTGAAAGGGAATTCATCACACATTACATTCGTTAGACCCCAGCTGACTTCATCAGTGTCTTTTAGTGATGTTGAAGTGCAGCACATCAGGCTGCCGTCTGGCCCTAACCTGAACATTAAAGAGGAGAATAAGGAGCAGGAGCCCCACTGTCACACCAAAGTGCCCTGTCAGGCCAGTGAGCCCAGCCAGACCATTGACAGGAGCGGGCCACTCATAAAAAGCCTACTCCGAAGATCATTATCCATGGACAGCCCGGTTCCAGTCTTCTCACCCACACTGGAGCTCAAGGAGCTGCAAAATCGAGAACAGACAGTTGTTAAAATGGCATCAAAAGCATCTGGAATAGAAACTTCTGTTCACAATGGCAATTCAAAAAGAACATCTCCTCTGGTTCTCAGGCCAAAGTACCCCAGCGGGTATGCTGAAGAAACTCAGGAAGAAAGGGAGGTCAGTGTGAAGGTTGAACCCAGCAGTCCACTTGCTGACCCCATGGACATTGTTAGAATCACAGTGGGAGATGCCTTACCAGTCAGTCTTAAAGACTTGCAAACAAACTATGACCAAGACTCCAGGCTTGACTTAAATCCTTTGGGGAAAAGAAAGGACAGGCCAGACAACAGAAGGTACCCATTCAAGAAAAGCAAAATATTTAAAGAACATACCCTCTCACTTATTGAGAACATGCCAGAAACAGTACCTCAGAGTGCCAGCAATGACTTGAACGAGAACAGTGGGGAACTGCCTCAGAACAAGATTTTCAAATGCTGGAACTGTTTAAAAGTTTTCAGGTCCAGTGCCGGTCTACATCGCCATGTAAATATGTATCACAACCCAGAAAAGCCGTATGCTTGCGACATCTGCCACAAGCGCTTCCATACCAACTTCAAAGTGTGGACACACTGCCAAACACAGCATGGTGTAGTACAAAACCCAGCCTCATCCTCCAGCTCCTCTGTACTGGATGAGAAATTTCAAAAGAAATTAATAGATATTGTGCGAGAGAGAGAAATAAAGAAAGCATTGCTTTGGAAGCTTAAGAGGAATAAGCAGGGCTTGCAATCTCCTGTGCTTACCAAGAAGAGGTCAAGGCCCAGCTTCATATGCCCTTACTGTGGCAAAGTATTTGTGTTCCAGTCTCAGTACAGACAGCATTTAAGGACACATCCTGC